TATGAATTCTTACGTCAAAATTTGTATTACACAAGAATCAGTAATACATAGAAAGTGATACATGGAGGTAAGAATTTTATGAATGTGCTTGCACACGTGTTTATTATCTGACTGTAGCACCGTCCCAGCATGTGGGCGGAGTTAATGTCGATAGGGGCGGAATTTGCCAATTTTCGTCTGCCTTTTTTCTTTGCTTTTATCAGCAAATTTCACACGATTTGTGCATACATGCATCCCGATATGAAGAAATACTGTAGATGCTTACCACAACCATTTTCATGAATGCACTTGGTCCAATCCATCAATGCCTTCAAACCCTCCTGCAAGATTTCCAAGCGATTGGCCTTTACATTTACTACATCGCCTGAAAGGGTAGAGCTCTCTCTTCAGAATGGCTTTTTCTCCTCCAAATTACCTTGTGCTAGCATAAGAATCCATGGAATAACTTGATCATAGATTTGACTACGTATAGATGGGCCAGCGTCAGCAGCACAACGTAAAAGTGACAAAGCTCGTTCAGTTAAGCCCATTTCGGCTTGGAGAACAAACGGCTCCAAATCTAAATACAAAAATTGACCAAATTCTGAGATTGCAAATCCAAGAAAAAATCCCCTCACTTTCAATGAGCTGCGAGCCAAGCTTCTTCACAGCTTCAGCATCAGCTTTTTCCATAGCCTTTGTAATTTCGGTAAGAGCTCGCGTGACACATTCCGGAAGGGTACCTATAATACAAAAACTTAATTTTTAAGGTTCACAACAACATTTGTGAACACTCCCATCCACACGGATACGCTGAGAACAAATATACACAGCTTTCATTTTGGCCAGATTAACACATTCACGACAATACGACCCACCGGTGGGTCATACGCTTTTTGAAGTTCTGAATTTTGCTAGTCAACAATGAAACGTTTTAGGCAAACTGGATAAAGTTCTGTATATATCTCTTAATTACTTCCCAAAAGATTAACACTTTAGACCATGGGACCCTTCAGTGGCCAGAAAATATTACGCAAACTGAATATTACGAAATATAGCCTTGCCGCGAATGTGTTAATTTTCGTGAATTCTTCCAACCACTTTGGAAGCTTGTCCCAAGTGGTTACTCCGCCCACTTTGAAGCCCGAACCTTCCTTTTCTATACAAGAAACTTTACCTTTAGGATTCAATCCAACCACACGTAGCCCTCCGAGCAGAACTTCCAGATGATCGACCAGCTCTTCTGGTGGAAATACCCTTGCCGCTTCAGCCTGAAAATGTAATTCTACGAACAGCAAAAAATCAATAAATCATGTAAAACCCACCAGCAAAACACAAGTGTCCTCCTTCTGTTCCGGGGTAGTTTCATCATCGGTAAACTTCTCCTCAATGAGCAAATAACAATATGGGGCAAAATCTGGATGGGCTATCAGGCATTTTAGGCATCCTTCGGCCAGGAGATCTTTGGTGATGGGCGAGCTGGCTGTCTAAAAGAATTTTTTCAAAAAATTTCGATGCATCAATTCGTTTTTTACCTGCTTGAATTCTACCGGAAAATAGCATGCAACCACTTCAAAGAGATCTTCAACGAATGGTCCTGGAAATCATGATCTCAAAATTAACATGTCCCTGGAGCACAAATCACCCAGTCCCTTATCAAACATCTACTGGACCGTGATTTCTGTATCAAGCTAAGTGGCTAAGCTAAGATTATTTGTGCAGAGAATACTAGTAATGCATTTCCAGTTATGGTGGCTGTTCTATGAAAAGCAAGCTAAGGAGCTCAGCGTATCATGAGCGTTAGTGGATGATACGTGTAACCTGACGTATCCAATCGCTTCTATAATATCCGAAAAGCGCATTACCAGATTGTACATCAAGAAATCAAGATGATGCTATACATTTATTATTTGCATAGCAGTACATCATTTCATTCTAAAATGAGTTATATCCAAAAATGAAGTTGTGATTGCTTGTTTATTCAATTATTATCTTTCTTTCAAATATTGATCAGCACGTTTCAGCGCGAACTAGTTCTCGAAAAATTAGTAGAGCGAAATCTTAGAAGCTTCAACCTCTCTTATTGCAAAACAAAACTGCACAAACTCCAGCGCCCCAATTTTGGCTGCACCAATAGGTAACACCTTATCACTTATAACAGATTTTACCAACCAG